CGACACTCACAGTGGCGCCGCGGCGGGTCCTGCAAGCCGGGGGTGGTCAGGGCAGCCGGCGCCCAGGCCGGCCCGGGGCCCAAAGCCTTGAGCGAGCGTGCGACCCGCAGGTAGCCGGCCATCGCGAGCGGCCGAGGCGACGTGGGCTCCGGCGCCAGCCACTGCTTGCAGCCCCGGGACCCCGGGGCCGGGACCGGGGCGGGGCGCTCAGGACGCTCCCCATTGGACTGTGCCCGAATGGGCGGGGGCCGCGCCGGCTCCGCCCCCACCCCTGCACCCCGGCTGGAGCTCCGCGGCCCCGCGCTAAGCGTGCGCTTCCTGGGCGCGGCGGGAACCCAGCCTGGGGGCTCCGGAGACTCGGGGAGACCTCCGCCCCCGACCCGCAAGGGGCTGGCCTCTCCAGGACGCCCCACTCTGGCCAGACACATCACCTCAGACCCCTGTATTCTCCCCGTTTGCCTGGCAGAGCCCAGAGGTGCCTTGGCCAAGCACGGGCGGGGTCTGCGGGGGGCGGGGGCGGTGTTGATTTGGTTCGTCTGTGCGGCCCCGGGGATTGATCAGTGCCTTCACACTGAGCTCCCTTATCGACCCTTCTTTTGTTTTTATTTGCCCCCACGGTCTCGCTAAGCCGCTAAATTGCTTGGGCTGGGTTCAAATTTGCATTACTCCTGCCTCAGCCTACCGAGGGCTGGGGTTACCGGTGCGCGCCCCCGCCCCCCCTCAAGGGCTCTGCATTCTTGACCCAAGACCGGACTGCTGGTCACGGAGTCCCTTAGCCTAGGCAGACTCTTTCCCCTCTGCCAAACGGGATGTAACGCTAACAGGGGCACCAGGAGAGCCGGTGGCACTGTCTGTCAAGGGCTTGAGGCCGGATGTGTGCCAGAGGCCTTTATTGTTCCCGGTTCTTGTTGGGTGACCCCCCCCACCCCGGCGATACCGAGCCCCGACAGTGCCATTTTTGCCGTTGGCACGTGAACATCAGGGCTGATGGGTCCGGCCTCTGGACCAAAGCCTGTTCCTGCGTTTTCCTAAAATGAGACAAAAGCTGAAGACAGGGTTTTATTTGGAAAAAACTACCGAAGGCCCCCCCACCCCGTCACTCCAAATAAGAAAGACCTTCCTGCCCGGTGTTCCTGGCACCCTGCCCACGTTCACACCACCAGTGGGGCCGGGCGCTCGGAGCTGAGCCAGGAAAGCGACCTTGAACTGCTGATTTCAAAGCTTCCGTGTGGCAAGTTACCAGCCTGGCCGAGCTGCTGCTTTGGCCCTGGGGGTCCAGTAGCCTTGGCCCAAAGGGAGGTGGTCCCCATCACCAGCAAAGGCTGAGGCCTCAGTCAAAGGACTAGTATTGGAGCTGGGTGTGATGGCAAACACGTGTAATCCCAGTACTCTGGGAGGCTGAGGCAGGGGGATTGCAAATTCATGGCTCACCTGGGCAATTCAGTGACTTAGCAAGATTGTCTAAAAAAAATCTTAGCTGGGATTATAGGCAGGTGACACATGCCTGTAATCTCAGCACTCAGGAGGCTGAGGCAGGAGGATCACTGCGAGTTCAAGACCAGCCTGGGCTACAAAGTGAGCTCAAGGCCAGCCTGAACTGCATAGTGACACCCTGTCTCAAAAAGACAAAAAAAAGACAAAAAATAGAAAAATAAGGCCAGGGACATAGCTCAGTGGCATAGCGCCTGCCTGGCAAGTGTGAGGCCCTGAGTTAGAGTCCAGTACAAAAAAAAGTAAATAAATTAAAATAACATGGCCTGGTCTTGTATTAGCCCAGAACAACCAGATGTCCCTTTCACACTGGTCGCAATGCTCTTGCTCAGGACACTAGTGGAGACCACGGAGCCTCTGGCTTGCAGCTGTCCTGCGAACTGGGTGTTACCAGCACTTATACCTATACCCACACCTGTGAAGTTGGCAAATGGACACCTGAGGGTCTTTCTGATTCAAGGAGCCCAATTCTGTTATCTGTGTCCACTGCCCGCACTACCACTGCTGTCCACAGGCCACCTGTTTTGGGCCTGGGGGCTCAAAGGCCTATTGAGAGGCTCTGTCCCCAAGTCTGGCCTTTGCCTGCTGAGGGACAGGGAAGGGAGCCTTGGGTCAGCACTAGGGGCGAGCTAGGACCAAAACTTTATTTCTGACCTGTCTGGCAAGTTCAAGGTCCTGAGTTTGATTCCCAGTACCCAAAAAAAGAGAACAACTTTATTTCTGGTGCTGGGGATTGAACCAGGGTCTCCTGCGTGGGAATCTAGGGTTCTGTCACTGAGCCAAACACCAGCCTGTGAGACTGAGCCTTTCCCATCCAGTGGCTCTGAGAGGTTGGGACACTTGGCTCAAAATCCCATCAGCTGAGATGCAACAGAACTCCACATGTAACCCACACACCTAGCTTGCACTCCAAAATTCTTTTAAGGCAAAAAGTGAGAGACCAGAACCTCTGTTACTATGCTAGTCTGGAATTCCTGGTGCTGATAACTGTTCACCCTGAAAGCTGCTACAGTGCAGAGAAAGATCGAACTTAAAGGAAAGAGCTGACAGCCTGCAGTCTGAGGTCAGTGGATTAGAAACTTCCACCTTTCTACATTTGGGGGGAGGGGTTTGAGGCAAGGTCTTCCTGCGTAGTCCAAGCTGGTCTTGAACTCACTATGTAGCCCTGGCTGGCCTCAAATGGGTAGTGATCCTCCTTCCTCAGCCTCTCAAGTGCTGGAGTTACACATGTCCAGCTCCACATTTTTAAATTAAACTTTTTTTGGTCATAGTACTAGGAATTGAACCAAGGGTCTTCACACTAAAGTACATCCTTACCCTTTTATTTATTTTCAGTTTTGATCCTGGTCTCACTAAGTGGCCTGGGCTAGGATCAAACTTGTGACCCTTCTGCCTCAGCGTCCCAGAGTGCTGGCATTATAGGTGTGCACCCGGCTCCATTTCATTATTTGTTTTCTAACCCATTTCATTATTAAGTGTAAGTCACATACATGTTCCCTGGGGAAACACAAAATGTCTTCTCCTTCTTAGAGACGGACATGGATGCAGTCACAATCTGGGATAAGAGTCAGTTTTGATGACATTTGAGGGACCTGACAGAATCCCTTCTGCACAGGGAGTAGCCATCAATCCACCCCCGACAGATTCCAAGACGGGAGGAGGTGAGTGTGGCGTCACAGTGACTCAGATGCCATCTGGGGACTGGGAGCCTGGCAATGCCATTATTAGAAGTTGGAAAACAGAAGAGAGGCATGGAAGATGGCAGAGCTATTTATGGTCATCACTTGGTTTCACTGCCAGCAGTCTGCTTCTCCCCGACCCAGTCTGCCCCGGCACGGCTTCCAGCACCTTCCTGAGGCGCAGGCTGAGCCTGGGCACCTGCGCTGTCCACGGCCCTGGCCTCCACCCCCACCCCTGCTTCGGTCACCAGGTACAGTAGCAACTGGCAGCATTTCCCAGGCTTTTACTGTCCCAGTCAATGAAGTGATCAGGACAATCACTGAATGTAAAAGATTACTGTTTATTTTAGGGCGGAAATAAAAAAAAGACACAAAAGATGTGCTCAGTGCAAAAGACACGCTCAGGGAGGAAAGGGTGCTTTGAAGGAAAAAAATTGGCACTGCAGGCAGAACTGAGCCCGCAGGAACGAAGAGGGCAGCGTCGCAGGGTCAGTTGCCGCTCTTTGCCTGTCTTCTTTGCTGGTTGGTCCAGGCAGCCCCGCTTGATCCATGCTAGAAGATTGGCAGCGGGTGCAGGGCCGCGTGTTCCTGTGCTGGAAGAAGGGTACTGGGTACGGGGCTCGGCTCCGTCCCGTGTCAGGCCAGGGAGCTGCTGCTGTGCACCCCTGGTTCCCCATCTCATGATCAGCAGGTCATGCTCAGCTGCTCCAGCCCTGCCTCCTACCTCGCCTCCTCTCCCCAGGACCCCGCCCTAGCCCATCCCCCACGGGCCCTGCCTCTGTACCTTGGCCCTTTCCCTTCCTCCCACCTCCCAAGCCAGACAGACTATGTGGCTGCCGCTATGAACCAGCCATTTGTGTCCCCCATGATTCAGATGTTGCACCCAGATGCTGGAGAGGCGCCTGGGAGGCAGGCAGAGCCCTCTGGAATGGGCTTAGAGCCCGTATGAGAGAGAGAAGAGCCCTCACCTAGGGTCCTCAGCAGGAGCCCAGCCCGCCAAACCTGCATCGCAGACTGCCCGGCTCCACACTGGAGTGCCTGCGGCTAAAAACTCCGAATAACACTAGCAGGAACCAAGCCAGGATGAGGGGCAATGACTGCAAGCC